AGAAGCAAGTCCCAAAGTTCCTTCACTGGTTAGGAGAAAACTTAGATTTCAGTAGCTGCCAGCCTGCATAAACCCACATGGTAACACACTGTTCTAAAGCAGATTTCTTTTAAAACTATAGTACCAGCTCTGAGAAATAAAGATGGTTAGGTACATGTTCAGACACTATAGCAACAAGCTCCTCAGATTGGATTGAACAGCTCTACTACCAAGTTAGCACAAATGAAACAAAACATCTGCCTATTTTGAGTTCTTAGCTAGCTATCATTACTACTGAATCAAGTCATGTCTCTAACACAGTCATTCACACATCACTGTAAGAAAGGAAATTATTTTATTCCCTTTTCACTTTATGTGAGGCATGCAAAAGCAAAGTAGCTTGCCCAAGGTCACAGAGAAAGTCTCTCACTCACCCCTCCCTGTATCTCAGAATACCTGAAATGGAACTGCTGGAGAAGGCAGCATCCCTTCTACTCCTCCTACTCTCTGTCAGTGGGACAGTCAGTTCTTTGGAGGGATTGAAACTTAGTGCAAAACTTGGCTCAATACAAGGACATGTGGGTGCTATCTGGCTGTAATCTCTGAGTCAGATATATGAGCTAATCATGCCTTTTGCCCTTGCACTCTTTGAAAGTATGAGCTCAAGATGCCAACAGTCTGGAAGCATCACATCCTGACTGCCAAGTCCTGGTCTTTGACTGCTGACAACTTATAACAATAATGATTAGAAATCTATATGCACAGAAAAACAACGTTTTCACTACTACATGCAAGGTTTAAATAAGACACATTGCCTCCCTGCACAAATAATCCAGATCGCACTTCTCTTTCACATTTATGAACAATCTTCTGAGATGACTGACAAAAGAGGTAACTGACATATAATGTGAATCTATATGTTGTTATCCATTCCAAGATGTGCAGCTGAATAAAATTCTGCTCAGTCAGACATAAAATCAAATTACAGGAGTTCGCTCTGAAGAGAAAGAACTAAATTTGAAACAAATAAAGCAGTGCATAATTCACTTTTAATGGGATAAGTTCCTAAAACCACACTAATCATAATCCTAACAAGGTAATACATTCCACTGCGAGTTTACCACATCACTGCTCAGTACACAGCAGAGCTTCAGTCACGGGAGGAATTTGCCCCACATGCAAAGTGAGCCACTATTTTTTTGCAGTCAGGATTTGTTCAGCAGAGTACTCCTGTTTATTAATAATTATACCTTATGGCCTTACAACACATGTTGTTCATCCCACATATGTTCACAAAGACCTTCACCCATTACTGAAATCCCTTGGTTAACACACAGTGTCTTTCTCCACAAAGCTCTGCAATGTTACTCAACCGTTTAGAAAAGAACCAAAAATGCTTTCTCTCAACTGCACAAATTCAAGAGGAACGTAATCACTCAAAGATGAAAGCTGGCTAACCCTGGAGTAACATTTTCTGTGTTTGGCAAAAATGCCATTGGATTTTTATTGACCATAAGTATTCAAGACCTTGGGTTTGGATCTGATTTTAAGACAGCATTTTTCATCAGCACAGCACTTCACAACTGTGAGAATGCCTGAGTCAAAGTAGAAAGTATGGCCACCTGCTTTGCAGCTGCTCTTTAAAGTAGCATCTCAGGATGTCCACACTTATTTGATGTATGAGAGTGATAGCTTATAACCCAAGATGCTGCAGCTACAGGGCAGAGATAAATCAGAAACAAGAAAATACTTTAATAATTTCTATAACATGGGATATCTTTTTACACCTTTAGTAAAGTGTTCAATTACGAAAAGTTGTTCTAGCAAAACCCAACATTCACTATATTCCATATTCACTACTGCTCAGCATATATCTGATCCAAAAAATGTGCCCTGATGACCAGTAAGAGATGTTTTTTGCATGAGATTTTAAAGTCAAGCTGGGCTTTTCCTGTACTGTCAGCAATCCAAATTTTCTGACTGAAATGTAGCAAATCATTCTTTTAATCACATAGTGTGAATTGCCTCTACAGCTGCCTCATTTTTGAAGAACTAAAAGGTGAGAAATAATGAAGAAGCTAATAAAAAGGATATGATGAAATACACATCAGGAGCAGGTAAAGTAAGCACATGCTTTTCTACATGACTCTATGCACTGTGTTCCTTAGTTAGCAAAAATTTCCATTTATATATCCAGCTGAAACATTGTTCCCTGCATAAACTAGTTTTTATTTAAAAGACCATTTGCCAAAAAATAAAAAAGTAACACTCAGAAGACAGAACTACAGTGCACACAATACAAATGGCATTATTTTTCCCCTCTACAAACATTATGGCTCTGCATGAGTATGCAGCAAGGTGAATACCCTACAAATCAAACTGCAGGTTGCTGACACTGGGCTCAACCATTTCCAGACGTGGGTTACTTCTACATTTCAAAGGTGTTTTAAATACTCAATAGTCAATCCTCAAAGTTTTTTGCACTCTGTTTTGTTACTACACCTTGATGTGAGGGAATTTAAGTGACATACTGTGGACACACAGAAATCATAGACACAGATACAACAATATCCTATTTGCTAGCATGATGGTCAGACACACATGAAAAAAGGTTATGAATGGCAAGCAAGAGAGTAAGATCATTTTAAAGCAAATATACACAATGGCTATGCCCTTGTCACAGGGCAAGATGTGGATGAAGAGCGAAGAATTCACTAAGCAAAACAAACTATATTGAGGGGACAAAATAAAAAAATGCCAGAAACAGGAGATAAATTGCTGCTGTTTCCCACAAGTCTAAAGTTCAGTCAAGATCAAACCCTACACTATCTTTTCAAAAAAGACAGGCTGCCCAGAAGGTGGTCTGGTGAAGCAACCCCCCTGATGTGTGCAGCTCAGCTCTCTCCAGAACATTGGTGTTACTGCTCTGTTCATTTCTTTCTACTGGAAGTGTTCCTCAGGCTCCCTCTTTCACTAGAGGAATTTAGATCATGATAGCATCACTTTAATATGTTATTAGCAAGTGTTTTGTTTTAATTAGTATCAGGGTATCATTTTACAAAACAGGTATTATCATCATACCAAGGAAGACCTGTCCAAAGAATAATAAAATCACTTGTACAAGGTTATCGAGACACTTAGCACAAGTAGGTCAGCTAGTACACTTAACCTGTGAGCCCTGTGCCTGTGACCTGTCCAGTAGGACACACAGCCCTTCAAGGAAATGAGCTGGGGGTTGTCCTTCATCTCTGATTACCTCTCATTACTGCTGTGAAAGAGCCCTAATTCAGTCATTGTGGAGGGGTCAAAACATTTGCTAACTTTGGAAAAACACAACTGTTGATGATAAATCCCTGACCACAACATGGAGCATGGTATTTTGGGCCTTTACTGTTGGTCTCTCCAGGGAAGAGCTTCATTTCAGCATTGTTGCCCAGGAAATTGGTGCCCAAATTAAGGACGCAAAGGAACTCATTAACAATTCTAGCTATGATATTTAAAGTTTATATAGCAAAACTCTGTCTTAAATCTAGGAGAATAATAAAAAACCATAGAGTTGCCACAGAAGGACTGTTGCATAGACAAAAAGATTGGACCAATGGCTAGTACAGTAACGTTGGCTCAAATACCAACTATTTCAAAGATCTTCTTGGGCAGGCAACTATATCTGAGCTCTTCAGTTCAAAATAAGGATAATGGCTAAATGGGAGCACACTAGGGATAAGGCAGGATACACAATAGAGACTGTAAAAATCTAACAGAATTGGGTTTGTTCATGGGTAAAGCACAGTAAATTTGAAGCTATTTTTGCTACATTTTTAAGCTAAGTATTTCACTGACAGCATTTGAGTGCTATGCAACAAAGATCACATTTTTCCAAGCAAAGGCATAGTACATCATACATTACCTTCAACTCAAATTGAAGATCTATTTTTTTCCTATGAAACAATAAATAGAGACAAACTCTGCCTTGACAACATCTGCTGAGCTTTTTCTCAAGACAGAGATTCAGTCGCATTCTGCTCTCCACTGAGTGATACCCAACATAGGCATCAAGACTATTAGGGTATTTGAGACAAAAATGTTAAAATCATACCTAGAGCTGGTAAGCTGTAGCTATCCCTATAGTTACCAGTGAGAAGGAGACAAATTTCTCAGTTTTACACCTATGATTAAAGCTCAAATAGCCCTTTTTGTGTTATATTTGATAGCAATGTTTGCACCACATGAATATAATCTCTCCTCCTTTCTACAACACAAATCTTACTGGTATCACTGGGGTTAAAGCACATCCAATACAGTTTAAAAAAAAAAAAAGGATAAGCTATCACAAAATTATCTTTTGGCAAAGTTCAGCACAAAAACCTGGAAGTCTAACCTGGCCCAGACAGCAGCATATCTAAATCACACAAAGTCTGTAGGATTCCTTCTGCCAAAGGCCAAGCTAAGCACAAATGGAATCAAACTGGGATTTTCCTTCATGTTCTGGTCATAACAGGCTCCTTTATTAAAACACAAAGAAAGCCTTTCAAAAAGTCTAAGACGCTTGAAGACTAATCTATGACATGAATAAACTGAAGCAAATCTTTAATTGTATTTTTCCAGACTGTTCCAGGTACCAGTAGCCAGAATATAAAAATCAACTAATCAGATGCTGTTCACTTTCAGTGAGTCAGTGCTGCCATCTAAAGCTATCTAAAGGGCATGCAAAAGGAATTCAAAGTCATGCATCTAAATAACATTTAGGAAGCACACGTCAGAAAACAGAGAATGCAAAGTCAACTATGTAAGTCAGATGAAACAAAAAAAATGATGCTGCAGTACCTGAAGGAGAAATTCTTTCTCTATCACTTCATCTGTCTTGCTGATAAGCCGCTTCTGTAGTCTCTGTACTTTCAGAATCAGTTCATAGGTATCAGGGTCAGTGGCCTAGGAAAGAGCAAAGTCTCAGAAATTATACTTCATAACAAGTTAGTGTTTCTTGTTTGTAAATGAAAACCATAATGTCGAAGTGTCCATAAGTAACAAATATAAAAGGGGGAGCAGGGGAGGGAAAAGTTTGTTTGTTGGGTTTTGATTAATTGCATGAATACAAGCAGTCCTGAAACTGGAATTGCTGCCTCTTCAATATCAGTTGAAGCATGATCATGTTTAACATTATTACCCTCATGAACCCTTCTCAAAATAGCTAACATAAATAGGAGCCCTTCAGAGCTTAACCCCCAAATCAACAAAGACTGGTAGAACCACGCAGCAGGGAAGGAAAAGGAGGTTACTATATCAGTTTTAGCAGCAACTGAAACTGCCCACTGAGGAATGAAGAGCAGTGCAAGTACTTCCCACTGTTGAATAACTTCAAATGGTGCCAACTGAGTTTTAAGGAGGGGAAGAATTTTCTACTGAACAAAAGAAATAGTAACTGCAATATAGTATTGAAACAGGTAGAGAAATTTAGAGGAACAAATTTGAGGGGTACAGTGCTGAATTATTATGAGGGTCTAAATTGTCCATGCATGTGAAATCTTGTTCTTCAATGGAATTAAGTGCTTAAAAGGGTGACAGGGTGTATGCACTATACTGCTGCCTTCTACCTACATAGCCCATAAAGACCAAGAGCTAGCTGATGTTTGTCTCTCAATCCTGTCTCATTTTTTTGTCACAGACTGAATCTGGAGGAAGCTCTGAGGAGCAAAGAAGCAATTCTGTGAGGAGCAGCAGCAAAGCTTACTTTCCCACTACTTCGTATCTTCTTCTTGGATCTTTTAATGAAGGGCATACTCTGACTGAAGCTTTTCTTCACTCAGGGATTCATAACACCTCTCTCCCACCTGGTTTCTCCTTTCTCATGTGGAGTCTCCTAAGGATTAAACTCACACTGCAGCAAAGGCTCCAATAAAGTCCTGCTCTCTCTATATCTGCTTGAGCTTATAAGGAACTTGGTATCTCATTGCTCTTAATCTTTAGTCTGATTTTATCTAAATTGACTAATCAATTCAAGTGTAACTAGGACACTACGGCAGATAAGCACACAGTGCTCACAACACAACAACATTTCCTGAGAAACCAGGCTAAAAACTAGATCAGTCCTCATGATCCACTCAGTCCTTGGTTTTTTTTATAGCACTGCCCCAACGTGGTGCCAATTTGTGACAACCATAGTGATACAAGGGTGTTTATTCATTAGGAATTGAACCAAAACCCCATCAGGGTTATTTCATATGGATCTTGCCATCTGCTGGCCTTTCTGTGCTCCAAATACAAACCAATAACCTAGAATGGAAAGACATGATTTCCCATTATCAGTCTCTTCATACTGTCTTTTTCCTAGCACTGGATGTTTTGACTGGCCTGATTTTACTTTGTTACAAGGTGCTGCTGTAGATTGTACCTAGGTGTGTTTAACCTAGTTCAGCATCCTGTGTTGTATCTCCCTTCCATAAGAAAAGCTAATCATACTGTTCAACTTTAAACTCAGCATGGAAATATCAGAAATTAACTATCATGCTAGTAAGCACAGCCAAAATGTTCAGCTCTGCTTCTGTAGGGACTGAGAAAGCTACCACTCATTATTAGAGCAGCTAAGCAACCCAGGCTGGCATCAGATCAGAGATCCATGCAACAGAGGACTCTCAGATGGCTCTGACTTACATCAAAAATATCCAGTGATGCCAACTGATGTTCATATATTTGGTCTACGCTTGATGGATTTTTTATTTTTCCCCTTCACTTGGCAGGTTCAAATTGTGTGAAAATTTAGATTTGCTGTTTACGTAAAACAGTTGAACTCATATTACCTGGAGTGACTAACTGTGGGAGCCCATCACTGTTTATGTGGAGGCCTCTTCCTTTTCTCACAGATGTAATTTTACCTTCTGACTTTATGTCTGTCCATTCCCCAGTCTACCTATTCTCTGATCTTTTCTATCTCTGGCTTTCTTCCCATATACATCTCCCTAATTGGTGGGGGTAGGATTGTACTTTTCCCCTATCATCCTCTTTCTCATCATCCATGTTACGGAATCACTCCCTTTTAAATTCACCATGTGCATTCTTGTTCCCTTCGGCATTTGACTGCCTCTTTACAAATCCCTCTTTTACTGAGAAAGTGACACAAAAATAACACTGATTGCATTGTGCAGGGAAACCATTCAGCAGTTAACCATTCCACTGGTACTATGGAAATTTCAGCCTGCCTGCCCCTCCACATCACTTGCGTAACAGTAAACGAAACAGGCTTTGTGCTCAGTCACTGATTTGGTAATAGAGGCTTTGGGAACATGAAATGCTCACACATCACCTGTAATTTTCTCCATCTGTGAATTTGCAGGGGTTTACGCAGTTCTTCTTCCAAAATTTTGCACCGAGTCTGTTCCTTCAGTAGATCCTTCTGCATATGATTCAACTGCTGTCTGCAGGCCAGGATAAAACAAAAAGAAAAATACCACACTGAAACCACATCAGCGTGACCAAGGTACTAACATGGACATTAACACGTCATGCCCCCAAGCACCACAGTGCATGAGAAGCCTTACATGGAAAGCAGAAGCCTCACTCTGCCACTACAGCAAAACGGCAGTGGCAAAAAAGTATCAACACTGATACAACTAAAGAGGTGGAAACATAAGGTATCACAGGTAGACTTCTTCACTTGCTTCATTAAGAATGGCTCAGTAAAAGGACTCCTGGGGAATCTACTCCACAGCCTACTGCATCTCACTGCTCACATCTTCCTATGTACATTAAGGCCAGAAGAACAGATTCATCAACCTACAAATGAGTTATGGGTCATATCCAGTTACCCCTGTATTGAAACTCACAGTTTGTGTTTGAGAGGTTTTAAATCTACATGGCTCACACAATCCATTAAATAAAACACACTCTAGGACCTAAGTATGATGGACACTGCTCCTTAGAGGACCAAGGTTTGATTTCTTTTACTCTCATTACCTCTCCTCAAGGAATTTCAGGGGTGACTTGTTGCTGAATTCAAAATTAATTGAGCACTACCAAGATTATTTGACAACTAGGCTTTTATGGTAGGGATAGCAGGTTGAGAGGCAAGGAAAAAAGGGTACATTTTGCAATGGTCTGACCTCATCACTTTAGTGATTGGATCCTGTATGTTCTCCAAGGTCAAAAGGGGGTGGAAAATCATGATATGCCTGCTTCAACACTGAACCTTTTCCTGCTAAGCTCAGAGTTGCATTTAGCTCACTAGAGAGAAAAAGGCCTTTTTTTTAACTGTGAGGTTGGACAAGGTTATGGAAGAGGAAAAAACCTCACATTTTCAATTGGCAAATCAAGAAAGCTAATTAGCAGCACAAGTGATAAATGGAGTTTTTCGACAGGCAGTTTTCATGATGGTTTTGGACTTCATTAAAGTATGTGATTGCTGCTGCAGTTAGCAAGAATTGATCCACTCATCATGGCATACTTCAATACCATCACAGAGTTTCAATACAGTAGCAGACTTTCGGCTGAATGCATTTGGGCAGCAAGTTCAAATCCTATTCCTGTCTGCAGTCAGTCGATGAAAACTGCAATTGCTAATGTTTTGTGCCCAGTTCTCTCTTCTGTTTCACCAAATCAAACTGGCATAATTCCACTGGAGTCAATGAGACTGACCACAGACCGAAGTTAATTTGTTCCACTGAAAGCCATGGAATTATACTGATAAGCTAAAGATCTTGCCCAGAACTGTGGTAGCTACATAGAACTGGTACAATGGTTATATGCTAAAAACATAACTGCCTCTCTATACAAACCACAACTGATTCTATACAAAATGACAATAGTTTCCTATTAGGAAAGAATACACCTGAAATACAGGAGGGTTAAAAAAAGAAGGGAAGCATTAAGCCAGAGAAGGATGAGATAAATCAGGCTTGGGCTATTAAACTTCTGTTTTAAAGAAACTCAACCTTCAATGGAAATTTAACTAAATCTTTCTCAGAGAGTATGTCTGCATAAAAATCTGGTAGAGGAAAGTTCTGAAAATATGTGGGGGTTTGTTATAAATATGTCAAGTGTGCCCCATAGTCTGTGGATTGCTTAACAAAAACAAGTTCCACTAATCTAGGCCTAAGTAGCTCACTCAACTATGACCGACTTTTCTGCTGCTGTCAGATTTATTCTATAGGCAGTAACTCACATATGGAAACTTTGGCCAAGATGTCTTCTTTTGTCCTTCCCATATTTTAGTTTCCTTAATTGCTGATAAATTGTTTCATGAATTTAATCCAGTCTGTGTTTGAGGTCAAACCAAACACTCCCCATCTCCAAGGTGTAGTGCTTGTTGACACAAATCTTTATGATGCATAAAACATGCTTTCTGTCTTGAAAACAAAATCATGGCTGCAGTCACTATGGAAATGTATTCAATCAGGTTTTCTACCTGAGCTCCTCCGCATTATCCACACCCTTGCCAAGTATTCCCCGCTCACGCCGAAGTTTTTTGATCTCCAGCCTGAGAACTCGGATGTCTTCCACTCTCTGTCGGTAATCAGTTTCACCCCTGTTTAAGATGGCCTGTTGGATTTTTATCTTTTCATAGAGCAGAGCCACTTCACCATTGCGACGAATAAGCTGGGTCCCTAGGGCACATCTCTCTTTGAGCACCTAAAGGCACAGGGCACAGCAGTAAACTCAGTTACAGTTCCTTCACACAATCCCAAAGCATCATGACTATATTTGTGTAAGTCAAAATCATGTGCGTTAAGAGGATTCATTGTTATTAATCAAAGAAATATAGTATGAGTCTGATAGTTTCCCCTCTAAGGGTTCAGTCACATAATAGTATAAACTACATATTTCATTCAATTCAGTATCTAAACATTTTGGTTTTAATGGCACTCTAAAGCTTTACTAGCACCATGTTCACAGTAGCTGAGGATCTTCATCTTAAAAATACACTGGACAAATGAGGGAGCAGAATGCAAGGTGTTTGAGAACTCAAATTAGAGATTCCTACCTTGTCAAATTCCTTCTTCTGCTTCAGCTTCTCAGCATCAGCTTCAGCAATGATTTTTAGGAGTTTTTGCTCTTCTGCCTCCTGATTTTCTATGAACTGTTTGGTTTCCAGAGCCTGTTTTGTCATCTTAAGCACTTCAGCCTGATGGAGTCAAAGAATATAGGTAAAATGTGCTTAGTAATAACTTCCCATTACACAAACCTGGGATTAAGAGTTAGAATTTTTCAAATCTCTCATGCATTCTTTTAGCTTCCTGAGAAGTACATACTTTGTTAGTTTTTGAGAACAGATCACCAAGACAAGCAAGCAGGAAGACCCACAAAGAAATACTGTAAACACTATTTTAATATAATTGTGTAATACACAAGAGAAATTTGAAAGGATTTTTATCTATGACAGTGGTTCCAGTAGTAATTCAGGGATGCCTTATTTAAGAATTTTATTTTTTTTTTTAAGCTACATAGGTCATATTTGGAAAGCTTTTCAATGGAGTTGTTATTCAAAGTTCAGAGTCAGTCTGGGATGTGAGAAAGGATAGTTCACCTTGCTGGAAAAGGCAATGATCTATGCTGTGTAACACAAATCAGCAACAACTTGGGAAAGGCTTCAGACTAGAATAACAGAATTGGTGGAGAACATGGTAACTAGGCACACAACAGTAAAACTAAAGAGCTATAGCACTTTGTTTAGTGGATGTGTAGATGAGGAAGACTGGGAAAAGAGAGGCCACCCCTAAGTGAAGGAGCAGTAATGCACTGCTACAGTGACTGCACAGCACTAACACAAACTATCACTGGAATGTGCCCAATCATTCTATCCCACTGTCACAAAATGCATCGTTCAAGGTATGTATGCAGAAAAAACTAATAAGGTCTTCTCTCTCATTGCTAGGCAGTTAGTAAGAGCCAAGGTGGAACTAGCTAACCACAGTCCATTTTCATAGATATTAAAACTTTCAAGCCTTGACTCAAAGACTTTGCCACAGCTCTGACCCTTATAAAGGATGATGTTCAAGCTGCCTTTGGGGAACAAGCATCATCCAGTGCTGAAAAAATGAGGCTGTGATGAAGGCTGCACCTGGAAAAACATCGATTTAAGACAGAAACAGTTCCATCATCGTAATAAAATAGCTTGTTCCATTCTCATTTTCTTTAATAAAATTCTCATTTTCCCTCATGTGCAAGACATATCTCTCTTAGTCAGTGTTAGATGTTCATCAGAATTCATCAGCCACATAAAAATGCAAGCCACTTCATACTGAAATGCAATCAACATTGTGTAAAAGCTGTCTACAAATGTAAAACTGCTCATGCATTCAGCATTGCTGGATAATAATTTTTTAATATATCAAACTTCTATGGTCTCCTTATGCCAGAAAAACATGAACTGTAAACAAGAAGTGACATTAGATGTTGGCAGCAAACATTCATATAAACAAATCTCCTCACTGGAAAGCACTAAGTTCAAATAAATCTGAAGTGTCTCACACAGTAAAGAACACAAATACTTTAAGCCACATAAATCCCAACAAGCTAACAGGACTTTCAATTACTTTAAATATGCAAAAAACTATAGTACAAGGGTCTGATACTTTACATAATGGTAAAGGAAATTAATAAACACAGTCACTGTGCAAGGAGAAAAATAGTCAGTTCTGAAACTGCTGTAAATCAGCACAGCTCATTTGAAGTTAGTTCACAGAATTGGTAAGAACTGTTGAACAGTCAGCAAGGAAGAATAATATATACGTGGTAGCTATGCCAATATCTCAAATCAAATTCAAACTAAATTCTTGGTTAGATTCTGAAATATTAGTGTAAGTGAAGAGGGTTTTTTTATTTGTTCTAGAGGTGGGAGGAAAATATGAATTTTTATAAAAGTTATAACTGGTACTGAACACAGAATGCTGAAATAACAAGTCAGTGTTTTTACAGCCAGATTTCTAGAAAATGCTAGCAAAAAAATAATGCATAGACATCGACAAAAATATACAAAGCACTTGACAGCAGCTCAAACCTGGAGGGTGATAGATAGATATTTTCCAACATTCAGATTCTTTCTCAAAGCACTCTGATTTGCAGGCCTTTATGAAGGCCAACTGAAGCCAAAAGATGGCATTGTACTGGCTTTAATGGAGCTTGGATCAGGCATCCTCTGTTTCATTTACCATGATTACACATTGTTAATACTTTTACACCAGCTGAGACAAGCATAAATCCAAAGTCTGCATAATCTCATTCCTATGAATCCCAGTCCTCCGTGATCTACCTCATTCTTTAAACGTATTTCCTGGGAACAGCTTGCTTACATCCTTCACAGTAATGCAAACAGGACAAATTGAAGTCAGCTTGCTACACAAATAATTGTTTACTTTTGTACCTGAGACAACCCTCTCCCTCTGAATTCTCTTCTGCTTTAGTATTCAGCAGAGACAGTCAGGTAGAAGACCACAATGCCCTGAAGTTAGCCAGTAATGTCATGTCAGTGTATGGACAAACTTGCTAGTGAATAATTGAGAGGGTAAACCATGTAGCAATCATGTTTGTCAAATGAATGGCACATAGTTCTGAGGTGATGAGACAGAACTGGGGACTAGTTAAGGCAGAAAACTGCAGACAGAAAATGAGATGCTGTTTGACTTCTCCATAACTGATACAACAAGTCTGAGAATGATCAGGTACAAGAACACAAATTCATCACCTTTTTACACAGCTCTATTGACATCTTGTCATAACTGTAATGTGCTGAGAGGAATTGAAAATTCGAGGAGTCATTGCAACAAAGCAATAAACTGACAAAAGAAAATGTTGCAAAAAGTGACAGGGAACTTTGGAGGTTGGTAGGTGTTGTTTTTTCCTGGTTTTGTTTGCATTTTTTTCTAGTGCTTAGTGAAGATTAAACATAAGCTCCTGTGGACGCTAACTCCTTAAATCTTTTCAGAGTGTAGCAAATTGGGTTGAGACATCACCACAAATCTAATAGTTTATCTGAGGATGGGCTGCAGCCAGCGCTGAGAAGAAAAAAAAGAGCTTCAAGCTCAGATTTCCTTTGATTTAAGACGGATTCTTGCTGCTCTATACCACAATATTAAAATAACTTTCTGTGCAGAGGGACCTACTAAAAGGCACAGCCTAACTCCCAGAAGACTAATGCTTGCTAGTTACACAGAAATACAGCTTTGTGAAGTGTAATATAATGGAGTTTGCATTTAAAAACAGCAGAGAGAAAAAAAGGTTCTAAAAAGAAAAAGTTGAATTATGAGGATCTATATTAAAAAGTTTGTCGAATCAGGGTATCCCCAAAGTCCACATTTCTGCAAGAAAAATGGAACTCTTTAGTAAAAAAATGTTCAGTCACCAGGAGATATAAAGCTTCCAACAGACAATTCAAGACTTTATGCTTATAATTATAGGGAGAGATTACATTTGTCAGATACACAGAAATTTGTGTAACTAATACCCCTAAAGTGTACTGAGATCTTGTGCTTCAGTTACAGAATAGTTTATTAAAATAGAACCCAGCAACTACCACAACTACTACAACTACCAGAACATAATGCAGTCTGCGAAATTATGGAAAGCATTCTTCATCAGAATGTATGTGTGTAAAAACTCTTACTTTCAATGACTCCTTCTCCTTCTCTGTCTTCTGCTGTTCTAGACCTGCTTTCTCAAGGGCTGCGTCTGCGTCTTTGAGGTTCTCTTTCAGCTGTTTCAACTCACATGTCAAAGTTTTCAGTTTCGTCTTCATTGATGTCATCTCATCCTAATACAACAGAAAGTGCGATCACAACAGAGGGACAAAAAAGAGGACATTTGTGATGGGGAGTTCAGTCTATTTAGGTGTTGAACAATGTAGCCACAGTGCTTGAGAGGAGATCTGTTGTACATATTACAAAACATCACTTTTTAATCCAGCAAAAGAAAAGAGTCTCATTAAAAGACAATTTTTTGCTTATGCCAGCATGGCATTGTAGTAAAAAGGCCTTTTAAAAGATACACTGACAAAAATAATGGCCATCAATTCTGAGTTTAATAAGCCATTTAATTTAAAGTGCTGGATACACCGTAACAACTAGCAGTCAATCCAAATTAATAAGATTCTGATCCTATCTGTCTGTTTTCATGCTTCTCGTAATGTGTTTGTCAGTAAGGTTGTATGCAGTTGGGCACAAATCTTTGGAAAGAAGCTGTCTTTGTGCAAATGAACATACCATGAGTAAGATACCTGTAAGCTGCAAGGGAGCATAGAAAATGCTAATCTCCATTTTGCCTCTGTGCTAGCTTGGACATAGGTGCAAGGGGGAAAAGAGTGTGCTCAGAGTTTGGGAAGTCTCTTGAATGAGAATATTTAACATATATTTTAAGCTCAAAACACAGAGCAAAAAGGCTGGTAGCACTCCAGAGAAATCAGACCACTAGGAAAACTTGTACTCACAGCACAAAGGTGCCTGCCTGTACAAAATTAACCATCTCAGCTCATCACAGTGACAGCACATGTTGTGACATGAAATGGAAGCTAACAAATTCAATGCTTAGACAGACATGCTCTTCTGGATCTAATGAAAATGGCTTTAGAAGCTATGACTCCTCTGCCAGAGGAGCAACCACCTCACAGTGAAGACACCATAACCCTTCAGATGAATACATCTTTTTTAACTATAAAACCAGGGTAGCTTAAAGCTCTTTCAGCACTGTCCACCATAGGTGTGGATTTATTAGACAAATGAGCAATGTTTTCTTGCATGAAGTGGTTAACATAGCAGACTCCAAACAAAGTGCAGAGAAAGTACTGATTAGCAGTAATATGTCATTAGGCCCAACTGTTTGCGTGTTCAGTCACTCTTGTGAACACAAAAGTTTTATTAAAATCTGTCTTAGCTACATAGCCTATACCTATAAACCTCTTTAATATTGTAAAACATGACAGAGATTTAACATACAGTGCCCAGACATATAACCAAATACATTCTTAATTCTTTTTTTAATGAAGAACAGTAAGGACACAAAATTTTGCAAACTGGTCTCCTAGTCAACTTGCTTAAACAGATGAGCTCATCACACCATAAGAAACCCCAAGCACTGGATATTTATTTCATGTGAATAGTCTTCCAGCATGTCTTTTCCAAGAGATTTTACTGAGTTGAACATTTTGGTGCTCTGAAGACCACTAACAAGGTGGGCATCAGGGCATCTTTTCACATTAAGCAATCCAAAAATGCTTCCATTTAGCTTTATCCCATAGAAGCTTGTGCAAATTTGGTTTACTTCCCAAAAGGAAAAAGAATTTACCAAAACATTTAAAACAACCCTGCTTTGCTTTAGTTTTTCCTTTCATGACTGGCTGACCTGTTAATGAACATAGAACGGCTATTTTTTTCACTGCTACAAATAATATTGCCTTGGCCAAAAGATCTTTTGGAGTCAGCTATTTTCTCACACAGGACTTGCTAAAAAACGTTTTATACTAAGTCAAGTAAGCTATTAAAGTCTAAACACCAGCCTCTAAGTACTGGAACTGTGAACAGCATTGTGCATACCACCATATAACTAACATTCAAAACCCATTTTTGGGTTCTTAATTTTCTAACATAGCACATAGATGTCCATTCTTTATAAGTAAGTAAATCCATGTTGTGTCTTTTAAAATAAAAAATTAAATATAAAAAATTGAAATTTTCCAACCTTACTCCTCCTGAGAGATTGTTTGGAAGCAGCAAGAATCCCAACACTGTATCCACTGCTGAGAGGCTGACTAAAGTCAAGCAAAGCATCCCACATAAATGGCAAAATGGTTCATTCCTCACTAAATTCAGCACAGAGCTGGATAGGGATTTGGACTGTTCACTCCCATCTGCTTTTCAAGCAAAACACCAACCTATTCAAACCTGAGCTTAAATTTGTAATCTACTGTATATGTTTATGCCATAAATCCTTATTTGGAAATAACCCAAGGCTGTAAATCACAGCTACCCAAGATTCCAATCTTTGCCAAATACAATAAGATTTGTGTAGTATTTTAGATATTTACATCAGAATAACAGAATACATCCTTAAATGGATATATTCTCTTTTTCTAGTATTGTTAGTGAGATCCCTAGGGAGGAGATATGAATGGAGAGAATCGTTTCCTGAGGAAAATGACACTCTCTGAAAGGAACAAGCAAGGTGGAAGCATTAAGTTCTTGTTAGAAAATTCCACTTCAGCTGGGAAAGTGTTCCTTCTGCTTTCTAAATCATTATTCACAGTAATGTGCACACACATTCAGGGCTTAGGAGGCAATCTGATTCCCCTTATACCCTATTTCACATATATGCATACAACTCCTTAAGGGATAAAACAGAGTGGAGCCAGGATGGCTTTACAATTCTGCAGCTCCAGTGTACCGTGATTTTACGCGTGGCTTGAAGTAGGGATATTGCCACATGATAACTGTGGACTCCTATTTCCAGTCCAAATACAAATGGTGCAGATGAAATGTCAGGGACCTAAAACATTCATTTCTCCAAAACCCACAGGAATGAAGAAACCACTTCTGCCATTGATCCACTGAGCTTTCCTTTAACAAATTAAAATTAGATCAGGAAAAAAAAAAGGTAACAAGAATAGAGAGAGAAACAGAAGGAAAAAATGTATCTTTCTACCTTAGCTTCAATCAGATTTTTACTGTACATGTTCTTCTCTGTTTTCAGAGTTTCACAAAGGTTTTGCTGCTGTTTTGATTTAATCACATGCGCTTGTATTTCCTTCTCACAGTCACGGAGCTGTGTTTGCTGTATTTCAAGATCATTCAAGTGCTGGAAGATCTGGAGCAAAAAGAAAGAAGTGAACATGATTAAACCATCATCACAAGATTATAAGGATGGGGCAGAGCTTGTGGTTCTCTTCCAAGATGACAAATTCAAATCCCTGTGATAAGCAGTTTTAGCTACAGCTAAAAGTCACTTCAGTACAAGTTTAAACCTTTCTAGATTGCCTATGTGGGACAACATTTTATTTTCTGATACCTAGGTTTGTTCAAGACTAAAACTTACACATGCACACATAATTAATTTCAAAAAAAGCTACTGAAAAACATATTGCCACTGAGTGGATTCAGCAAAAGCAACATAAAGAGCTTCTAGCAAGAACTAAACTCTGTTTATTTATAAAGCAAACCTATATTTTGGATGTTGTTTTGGATGTCAGCTGTATGATAAGATGAATAAACATGTATATGTTTTTCCAAGAAGCTTTGCAGGTATTCTAACAACCCAACTATTTATTAATGAACACATGATCACAAACTGTTGATATATAATTACTATAATAAGAAAGTCAGTTAATGTAGCTTACACTTAGTCTAAATAAGTAGGTATTCACCATTAGTTGCTTCTATGAAAGATTAGACATAATTATGGGATTACCTAAAGAGAATGGAGTATTGTAGACTACAGAAAGAAGAGGATCACATATAGCATTGATAAACAAAAATACAAAATTTTATAGGCATGTTTATTAAACAGCTACCATCATAACAATACATAAGAATTACTGCATTAGAGGGGCAAAAATACAAATAGTTGCTAATCACCATGATTGACTTCTAAATTATTTTTTTTTCAACGTAAGAACCTTTCTCCTCCTGCACAAAGCTGAAAACTGAGGATTTCAGGCAAGCAGTATTCACACAGATTTCAGCATAACAAAGAAAGAAGATTAAAAGAAATAAAATTAACACTAAGGTATACACACATCAACAACATGATTTGTCAGGTTCACTACCCCAGCAGAGAAAACAATGCCATCCTTAAAGCTAGGAAAAACATCAAGTACTAAAGAAAAGCTGAGGAATTACATGGATAAAATCCAGGAGAGAAGTCCATTTCCAACTGCAGTTCATATCCAGTTCTCCTGACTCTGCTTTCATAGGTAGTAGTTTGGGCTAAGATTTATGTTTATATGTCAAAGCAGAAGAATAAAAAAATATATTTATATCAAATAGTCAATAACTGCAAAGTTTGCAGTCGACAATGTTGTCCTTTTCTTAGTAGTAAAGCCTTGTGAGACCTAACTACGGGGCCAGAGCTTAAATAATTAATCATTCTACCAGGTACCTCCAACCAACTTTGAAGGTAGGGGATAGCTAAATATAGAAAACTTTATTACAGCAGCAGCAATACAATTCCAGCACATTGTAGCTGACTATAGACAATCCCAGGAACTGCTTACAATGCAATACAAAAACATAGTCCCAGTTTATAACCTACTCCTGCCTTTTCCTTTTTTGTTAAAACAACCTGCCAATAGCAATAGCATACAGAAGAAATCAATAAGGCATGTTTTCTATCAGCACTGTAGGGATCATAGGCTGGAGCAAGATTTGAAAGTAGGTCACTGCATTTGTAAGTCTTTTACTTGGTTTTGATACAATGTAAGTGCAGTAAGAATGTGGACAAAGTTTTCTGAGTTGTGCTCACAGGCTGGATGCTGATTCTGCTTTTTCAGGAATGATTAAACCGAAATAATTCTGTCTTATAAATACAGAAAAGATACATGTGGTGTGTTTTCCAACACAGCCCTGTGGGAGGCTGAGCATCCTCAATTCCTATTTAGTCAATAGCACACTCACCTCCCAGATTTGGCAGTGAGAGGCCAAAGCTAAGCAGAAAGTATTAGGTATTCATAGTTTACTTCTATATCCTCACAGTTCTTCTATCTGTACACTTAACTGTCACCTGCTGCTGGTTTCCTGTTTAGTTCAATGAACCTCCTCAATATCTCAGCAATGCTGCTGTTCCTATTTGCTTACCTCTTCAGCAGCCTAAACCTTCCACAGAGAAACTAAAATTTCATAAATTAAGAATTTCAATTCAAAGAGAAAATATTCTACTAACATTTGTAGCTCAGTAATACAGGCTCCACAACAGAGACCAGATTCATTTTCTCACTTGTGCTGCCTAATCTGGAAGTAAGACTATTCAACAAGTGACACTGAGTTAAAAATGGTACAAATGAGCAGTCAGTCAAGACAGTAGTTAGAAGTGGAAGTCATGCATGAATTCTCACCCCTAAAATATTTTACTGTTGTGGATACAACTTCGCTGACTCTGTTCATCAGTTAGTAGTAAGTGATGATTTTGAAAGAGGAATTCTGCAGGTCTATAGATTCTGTCCTGCTATAAATAACCAGACAGCTTTCAGAGCCAGCAAGGCTAAATCTTTGGACTTAGATGGATTTGGCTCTTTACCAGCTATTACAGAAATCCAAAGGTGTGCAGCAAGTTCCTGCAAAGCTGACTTGGTGGCAAAAGGTGACAGAAGAGCATTGCCTGGCCATAGAGTTAGTCTATCAGTAGCTTATTTCCCACCAGATGTGAAATTACTCTTGTAGTTTTGCCACAGTTTCTCAAGTCTGCATAGATCAAACAGTGAACCTAAATATTACCTCGCTGATATGATAATCCTGATCCTATATCCTCCTACTCTGTGTTTTGACTTGAAGGGCAAGACTATTGTCTCACATACTTCCGTGCTCAAAACTGCCTTTGCTGCTCTTCACCTGTAAGCTGAGCCAGGAATTGTCCCTTTACTGAGACAAAGAAGTATGCAAATCCTTTGGAAACTTGCAGGCATCAGTATACAAAGAGTTTGAGTGTCATAAGCCATTTACTGAGCCTCTGCCTTATACAAAGTGACAGAAAATCTGCACCCAAAGTGGCCGGGGAAAAAAAAGAAAAAGCAAACAAGCAAATATTTGTCATTTTCACCCTCAAAGTATCAAGGGCAACCCTAAGCAAAATTAAAGGAAAGAGTCCTGTAGTTCTGAGTGTTATGAATCACTCTCTGGCACTAGTTTACAATGTTCTTAGCTCATATCTACACTGTTGGAAATGCACTATAAGGGAAAGATGCAAAATATGACTTTGCAACAAAGACAAATCTCACTTTTGTGGAATATTATTTCCAGGGAAATGACAAGAGGTATTCCAGGCAATGGAGCATATACCATTCAAAAAATTATTTAAAAGTCCCTGGTCATATAAAGTTGGAAAGGATAATTTTAAAGTGAAAAGACAGCAAATAACTTGTGAGGTGAAACCGCTTGAAAGCTAATCCCAGTAAATCAATGAGCTTCTTGGAGGGCTCTTCAATGTGATCTTCAGCAATTAATGGAACATGTTATAACCATGTTCCTGAGCTATTCCATCAGGACTAGAGCTATACATAATAATGGGTAGCAGGCAACACAAATGTTATGCAGTGCTTCTCTGCAGCTGCTCCTGGAAAACTTGTGTTTTGCAGACTAGCTTGAAGATGTCAAGACATTTTCACATATTAGGAGTAATCCTTCAAAATGCTAAGCCTCTTACAAAGACATCGAGCACTGTTAGCTCTCATTGGCCTCAATTTTAGGACACCAGTAGTATGCAAGAAAAGTTCCTTTGCAGACAAGACAGGACAATCAAAGAGTAATTTCCAAATGCCCATGAGAGTTTCAACTGTGGGATTCAGGTATAAGACATCAGAGGCCTCAGTTTGAACTGCAGCCCGAGTTTCATTTCCCAGCTGATCACTGAATAAGAGCAATCCATGACTGTACTCCAATTCTGTCGTAGAATACACACCCATTGATAAAGCTTCCCCAGAGAAACCTGGAACAGTAGCAGGCAACATGCACTGGCAAGAAGAAATCTTTGTAAACTGTATGAAGACCATCAATCAAAGCTATGTTACAAAATTCATATGTTGTCTTTACACTTTTGAGAGTAAGACAGGAAAGAACCTCTTGCACCAAGAGCTGTTCCTACCTTCTCTTTGAGCTCATTGATTTCATTGATGAAATTATCTCTCTCCTTCTCCAGTTGGTAAATAGTCTTCCTTTGTTTCTCAGTTTCATTCTTATAACTTTGGATTTCTCTTTCCAAGTTTTGTTTTGTCTGTTCATGGAGCTTCACCAAATTTATCTGCTTCTGAGTGGCACTGTTAGCCTTGATCAGGTTCTACAGGGAACAAAAAATAATGACTCTTGAGCTGAAAAGGCAACACTGCCACCACTATGACAAAAACATGCCATTGTCAAAGTGGATTATGAACTTCCCAATGTTATTATCCCTTATCTAATTTGTTCAGTTGAGACTCAAATCCGATTTAAAAAAAACAAAATCTCTAACAGAGCTGCTAAATACAGCTCTTTCTGATTTGAAGTTAAAACACTCGTGTTTCTGCTACAAAAAAAACAATTGATAGGATTGTTTTCAAGTGGATATAACTAATGTCTGGAAAAACCTTAGCAGCTGTAAGGTGTTTTGATTGTAAAGCATGACAATAACCAGTAAAATATATAATAAAAGCAAATACTCCTCCTTCTCATGTCGTAAATAGCAAGTTCAAGCTGGAAATTAACCAAGCTTCATTTAAAATTATGCATAAGGATTAAAGAGAAAACACCAAGATACCATCTTTACAAAATCAGCCTTCTGGTCCCACTTT